TACTGAGCTAAACTCACCATTCAGCAACACTTAATTGCAGTCTTCCTTCTGGTTCGACGTTGCCTTAAATACATACACAAGTATTTGCGTGTATAAATGAAACATCTCTTCGGTAGGCACAGCGAGCTTCCTTGAGATGCAGTGCGCGTGTTTAATGAGCACCTGTATTTAATTGCCTGCACTGCACGACAGCGCTAGTCGTCGCGCTGCGACGTGCGCGTGACGGTGACTAATACTGCACCCGCACACACGCGCCGATTAATCCGGCTACGAAAAAACGCCGATGAACTTTTATTACTAGGTTCGAGATACCAGAGAAGCAGGTCAAAGTTGAGAACGTGCAACCAGAGGGCGCCACAGTCACACACAAGAAGGCGTTGGGAAGAGGCAGATCGGCTAGTACGGTTAGCGACACTTTCAGCGAGGTGGGTGGTGGGTCGCTAGTATGAGTACACGACGGAACTACTTTCAGACCGACGCACCTCTCCTTTCTTATCTACATAATAAAAATGTTGAAATCGTTTTCACCATAACCGGTAAAAGCCTACGAGTACGATGATGAGAATACGCACAAACCCGGCAGAAACACGCGCGTGAAGGCAAACCGTGCGTAAACATTCGATTTCAAAGTCAAAATTGTCTGCGTGAAATACCTTCTATCACAACGATTACGACAATAAACGCAGCCAGCATTTCTTCGCGAATATCGAAAATGCGCATTTCGCTATCATATCTTCGCGAAAATGTGCCTTCCACGCGCACAGTCTTCATCCCTCCGTTGCTCCGCAGGGCAAGACGTCGCCCAGGCATCGAGCGTCGCCCTCTGTCGACATGCTCGACGAGCCGGGAGTGAAGACGGAGGGGGTGACGCCGCAGCGGATGTCCTCCAGCAACGATCCGGACGCGCCGCTGGGCAAGCTGCATTTCGGCATACAATACGACTTCACGGCGACCACGTTGACCGTTGTCGTAAGGTGCGTATATCGTCGTTGCTGACCGTTTGCTTGACGATTGTTGACGCTTGTTACTGTTGACGTGACTGCGACGATATACGTTGACTGTTGTCGCTAGGTGTGCATAACGTCGTGGTTTAACTGATCATAGGCAAGCAAGACGTATTAGCCCTACGCTTCGATAGAATGCGAGCCATATTAGGAATATTAGGCATATTAGGCATATTAGTCATATTAGGCATATTAGTCATATTAGGCATATTAGGCATTCGCTTTGTGTGCATTTTTTCGTATACTGCCCTCGTTGTTTTGTCTTTGGACATGACACTTGCTGTCGTGCAGTCTCATTTGCCCCTGATGCCATTTGGCCAACATCGTCAACGTTGTCATGGGGTCCTCGTGGGTAATTCCAAGTAATCGTCTTAGACAGCGAATTTTATAATCCGATGTAATCCAATATGTGAACCTATTTCATACATTTTCCACCCTTGCTTGCTGTTCATGTCACCGCGCGATAGCTTAAATTAATATATTTATCAGCAGACACGTTTTTCGTAAACAGTTTATTTAGTGACAGAACTTTCGGTTTAGCTGTGTGATATTTTACATTAATTGGGCCGTCTAATTTAACAGCGAAACTCACGCGTGTTGTTCTGCAGAGCTGGTATTATGAAGAATGCACGAATGTAGCCGCTTCTGTGTATAACTATAATCAACAATATCGTCTCATGCACACACATGACCAAACACCCGCCCGCACATTTCAGCAAACACACACGCGAGGTAACGGACGTGAGAGCTAGTAGGGAATCGACGACGAAAGGTAGGGAGGGAAAAGAAGAGGGCGGAAGGAATCTGGCATTAATGGGTCGAGAGAGAGAGAGAGTAGGATGGAGGTAAATGGAGATTGTGCTGATTCGTGAAGGCGTGGGAGGCAGGGAGAGGAGGCGGGAGTGAACGCTGGAAGGGCTAGAAGAGAAAGCGATGGAAGGGGAAAGGATGTGGAACAAAATAATGGAGCGATTGATGGAAGGAGGAGGAATATACACGTTCAGACCGCTATCTCGATCATACCTCAGTCGTTTAGTCGGCCTAAATTCATTATCATTTCGAACTGGGAGTAAGCACACATCACGGAAATGGAATCCGTGGCACGGACAACGGATCCGAGACACGGACACCGAATCCGGTACACGATCACTGGATTCGGGACAGGAACATGCGATCCGGAACATGAACATTAGATCCAAGTTACAAACATGGGATCCGTAACACGGTCATCTGATCCGTGACACGGACATTGGGGACTAGGTACTGTACGAACGTAAATAGACTCGCGCCATCTTCTTCTCGCTAGTTGGCAACAAAGATGGCCGATCGCGTGCGCACGGCGGCACGCCACGTTGCCTCGCGGGAGTAGACGCCCATTAATTAGCTCACGTCTGTAATCTCTCACCGCGAACACAGTGCGACGCACCTACATCGACGGCAGAAAGAGATCAACGGCGCATGCGCATCCCCGTGTAAGCGCAACATCATGTCATGCAATGAACAGCATATGGACCCATATGCGGAGGACATCAAGAACAAGAATCTCTTCCTGCTATGTTCCGCTGATGGCGCCGCGAGCATCACTAAATATGGTTACGCATAAAGGCAAACGAAGTGATGATATTTCGTCACTCGCTGTCAGGGTGACCTGAACTCTTTTCTACTTAGACATGCTCCGACAACTACGAAAGAGCTCTCACGCGTCAATCAATCGCGTGCAAGCCCCGAGGTGGTCAACAAACTAATGGCAGATCTTAGACGTCACTCACTATTACCGGCACGTAACGACAAACGAGTGTTGACCCACATATCAGATGATTAATCGCCTTCGTGGATAATTCATACGAGAATGAATCGATCACGTCAGAAATAGGCACTAGATTCGCGAAGTCAATTTGCGGCAACACTTTGACATTTCTGTGACGTGCGCACGCCGCGGACGCAGTATAGGCAGATGACATGTTAGAGGAGCGGTCATCTTTACTTTATCTTTCCCGAATATAAACTGCAATTAAGACCTGCGTTAAGTAAGAGATAGGCTATATGCTAACTCAGCGTAATGTTGCGAGCTGTCTTTAAGCGACCTCCTATCATCTCATCGGCTAGTGTGGACGAGAGAGGCTGAGCATTCTGTAACGTAAACGCCAATGTTCAGGTTGTTCGTACATTTTTACAGCGATGCCTGTAACGGTGTGACGGTGTACAGCAGGTATATACGCGCGATCCTGCGCGTGCGCGCGGTTGCTCGGGTATTTCCGTTATTCGGTTGTTTGCCTGCATGGGCACGCGAGTATCTGGCTGTGTGCGTGTGCGTGTGCGTGTGCGTGTTCGTGAACGTGTTCGCGCGCGTGTTTGGGCATCACCTGCGCGTTCGTGCGTATGTGCGTAAGCCTGTAAGTGTATAAGCGTCGCTTTGTGTATATAT